TACTCGCTCTATGCACCATGGTTCTGCATGTTGGAACGACATTGGGGCCCACACCCGATCGACCTATTTGTGAACGTGCACAACAGCCAGCTGCCACGATTTCGTGCTAAAATACCGCACCCCTGCGCAACTGCGATCGACACGTTCTCCATCTCCTGGACACGCAAAAGAGGCTTCGCCTTCCCAACCCCCAACCTGATCCCTGCCACTCTCCGCCATGTGTAGCATACGCAGAGTACCCTGGCGCTGATCATTTTTGAGTGGCCTGGGGCATCCTGGTGGCCTCTGATTCAGCCAGCCCCTTGAACGTGGGCCCCGGGAGTCGTGGAACACTTGTCCCTCACCCAAGGAAACCAGTGCCTTCGCCCAGGCACCCACGCGGCAGCATTCTCAGGCCTAGGATTGCCCCGTAGCCCTATTATAGTATTGCAAATCAAATATATAATGTAATTAACAGAATAACATGGATATTTTTCGGGCATATTGCCCAAGCTCCAGTAGAAATTATTGCAAGTAATCACCAACGTCCGCGCTCCTTCCACAATCTAGACATATGAACCATACTGGCTGAAATTTTGCTCATTCTGCACCGCAGTCAAGCTGGACTTCCTACCTGCGTCGAACATGACGCTCGCCCTCTATCTCATCCATGCGCTTAATCATCATGCCACACTCCCCGCAATCACCCTCACATGTTCGGTTGTGGCCTTTGCCCATCGCATGACTGGGGAACCCTCGCCCACGGGTGGTCCCTTCACCTTGCAAGTCCAGGAGTTTGCCAAACGGCATGGGCGCTGCCTCGCCCGAACAAAGGAACCCTTGTCGCTTCACCAGGTGCACAACGTGGCTCGCCCATTTCTCGAGTCAGCAAGCCCGACCAGAAAGGCCTCATTCCGCTTCTCATGTTTGCGGCATTTCTCCATTATTCGGACCTGGTCGCTCTCCAATGGAACGACATCCAGTTCGAGGATGAAGCCATGTTGCTCCTCATCCTGTACTCAAAGTCAGATCAAGAAGGCAAGGGGACATGGATCCTGGTTGCACCTACCCCGGGACCCTTCTACCCCGTCCGGTATACCCGACGCTTTCTCGACCTCGCCGACTTCACCGGATTGCTCGACGGGCTGCTTATTTGAGTCTTCAGCAGATACGCCAGAGTGACGCCTCAAGACAGCTCACCCTCGTACACCACCATTCGCAACTAGTGCCTTGAAGCCTTCACTGCAACAGGCCTTGACGTCACCCACCCCGGCACCCACTCCTTCCGTAAAGGTGCCGCCACCGCCGCAGCCGCGCTCCGTGTTCCCGATCGGCTCCTCAAACGCATGGGCCGTTTGCGTAGCAACACTGCTAAGGAGCTTTATGTCACGATTGCACAAGACCAGCTCCTCGCTGTCTCCACCCAACTCCAGGACCCCGCAGTGGCCCCAACGCCTGCCGGGCACCAGCAATCCATCGAGCGACACCGTCGACCCCGCATGCACATGCCTCAACAGGCCCATCTGGAATGAAGCACGCTGCCTTTGCGAGATGGCCTAAGCAAGCCTTCACAATATGATATTTTTTGAAAGTGTTATACACTTCATAAAATTGTGTATTGTGAAAGTGAAGACGTGGCCAACACAGCAAAGATAGCGACGAAGCGCTACTCACCCTCTCTTGCCTACAAACGAGGGACATGAGGCCATTTGGCCTCACCCACGTTCTTAATTTCTAGTTTGTAGTTTGATTTCTCCCACCCCCCCACCCTTGTCAGTTGTAGTATCCCATGTTTGCATGTCATGGACAAGAACTATGTACTACCTCTCTGGAATGAAGGATGCTGCCTTTGCAAGATGGTCTAAGCAAGCTTTCACGATCAAGGCAGAGTACACCAGCACAGCACTACTAGTCTGACCTCTGGTGAAGGCAACTCAGGACAGCACTACTAGTCTGACCACTGAGACAAGAGGCCACAAGACCAGTCATCAAGTGTAGTAAGACAAGCAGGTATAGAACAACAAGTACGAGCAAGTAAAGTATGACTCAGGATACAAGGAGTGGTGCTCCTACAGAGATGAGACCAATCTGAGTACAGAGCCGCTGATGGTTACGGGGCGCAAGTGCCTTGGTGAAGATACAAGCGGTGTTGGCCACTAAGGCCAACTGTACCACTCAAGCCTGGCCTCGTTGCTGCAACTCACGTAGCAGGAAGTACCGCAGCTGGATGTGCTTCGCCCTGCCCTCAAGTCGAGCCTCCTGATACAGAGGATCATGGCCCTGTTGTCAGCAAACAGGACCGGGGCAGACCTAGGCTGCTCACCCAAGTCACTAAGCAAGAATGTCAGCCAATGGAGCTCCTGAGCAGCCATGGCCCCAGCGTTGATCTCTGCCTTACAACTGGAGTGAGCTATAGACGACGACCTGGTGGACCTCCAAGAGACTGCACCAGCACCAAGACTAAAACGGTAGCCCTGAGACGACCCGAGCGTTTCCATGTCATCAGCCCACGACGCGTCCGTGTGTCCAGTGAGCACCACTGGCCCCCGTCCTCCTAGCACAAGCTCCAGTCCTGATGTACTCGCCAGATACCGCAGTACCCTCTTGGCAGCCGACTAGTGGACTGGTCAGTGCCTGCCTGTCGCAACAAAGCGAGCTAGGAGACTGAGAGGGTACGCTAAATCTGGTCGAGTGCAGGTCATCAGGTACATAAGACACCCCACCAGCTTTGCGTATGGACCACTAGCCTTGACCGGCTCAGCCGGAATAGGAGCAGAGAGCTTGTGATCCATAGGCAGAGGGGTGGGCTGTGTTGAGGAGAACCGGAGACTGAACCTCTGGAGGATCTGCTGCACCATATGGGACTGGGAGAGTGTGATCGTGCAAGCAGCACGGTCACTGGAGATCTCCAAGCCCAGATAGCGCCCAGCTCCCCCAAGTCTGTACAGGTGTGTCTCCTAAGTAACTCAGCCTTCATTGAGGCCAGAGCCACTCTGTCAAAAGTAGCAAAGAAAAGATTGTCTAGGTACACTAGAATGTAGACTGGTGTCTGACCCGTGCGAACAAAGAGAGAGGGGTTAGCAGAGGACGAAAACAACTGCAGCTCAGCAAGAGTGGTGCAAAGCGTGTCGTGCCATTCACGGGGTGCCTGACGAAGGTCGTAGACAGGACGATGCAGGCTCCAGTGGGTCCTAGGTGGGAAAGACCCAGAGAAGCCTAGAGGGTGCCGGAGGTAAATCTGCTCGTGCAGACTACCCTGCAGGAACGCTGTGGAGGAGTGAGTGAAGCTCGTAGTCATGCTGCACGACTATGTGAAGAAGGACCCGAAGAGTAGTCATCTTCGGTGTCGAGGAGAAGGAAGGAAGAAGTCCACAACCTCACGCTGTTTGAAGCCTCTAGCTACATAATGCGCCTTGAACTTCGGCGGCTCTCCAGGTGCGTGCTTCACCCTGTAGATCCACATGCCATCGCCCAAATGGGGGAACTGCGTCGACGTAAGTGCCTGTGGATTTGTAGGATGCCATCTAAGCTTCCATGGCCTATATCCTTTGGGCTGCCTAGGGCCCAGACACCGGCTCAGTGTAAGAGTGCGGAACAGGGATGTCGAGAGCACCTGGGTCGCCCTCTGGGGATACAAGCATGGAGCAGAGATGGGGAACATTGGCAGCAAGGTAGGTCAACTCGTACTGCCTGTCCTCTAGCACGTTACTGCCAAGGGTAGGTGCACCCCCGATGG